TCTTGATAAGTTGAAAGAAGTGTTTATTGTCTCAGTTACTATTTTCAATCTGGCTATTCTACATTGGAATTACAAACAGAATATCAAACAGAACATAGGAAGGAAATGGGGCACATCGAGGCGGTGTTATGGTTAACAAGCTTGTCTCGCTCGAATGATTATAACTGAATAGTGAGTTCGATCCTCAGTGGTTGCCCCCTACTTTCAGCTTTGTACCACATCTAAACTACAATTGGAAAACTACTATTGATAAAAGGAGATGCCTAAAGAAACAGCAAGTTACCTAACGAATTTGTGTAAATATATGACAGAACAGGGTCAAAGGGGATGGCAAAGAGTCAAACGTTAGTTACAGCTACAAGGGACTGGAAGTGGTGGAGAACCGTTATCGACCATATTCTGAAGGGACATAGTGCATAAATGATGCTAATTAGGCTGTAGTACATGAAGATTCAGAATTGAACCTCTTCAAGATAGATTTGTGCGATTTCGTGAAAAACGCCGATAAAATGAATGCATTATTCATGCTCAGAATGATATTAGACAGAGCAATAGAAATGAAAAAAGATGTCGACGTATGTTTTATAGATTATGCCTTAAGTGTCTGATAAAATACCCATAAAGAACTGTTAGAAATGCCATATAAGCTTGATTTATTTGGGAAGGATATTAGAACAACGCAGAACTGGCAGCAAACCGTCTGGATACTGATAGAAAATGAATTCAGTTAATGCACAGTTATGTCTTCCCACCAGTCTAATCTTTATAGTAGGGGACCTCCACAAAAAAGCAATGCCTAAGATTTAAAATGATTTAAAAAAAAAATGAGAAATCTTCAAGCTTTTATTTCAGTTTTAATTTCAAGCTGATAGATTAAATTTAATATTTCTAATAAGCAAAATAATTTGCTGTATTTCAAAAACTAATTCATTGACAGATGTCATGTTGTTCTACGGAGACTTGATCTGTAAAACACAATCAAAGTAAATGACGTGAGCGCCTTTTTAATATAAAATTAAGAAAATATTCATCGTAATTTAATGTTTTATTGAATTTTTAAAATACTGACTTTAATTTTACTACAGATATCGCTATTATTTTCTGATATGTCGTGTATGGTCGCTCGTAATTTAAATTGACTGGAAGCATATTTTGTTTTTGCTAAAACAGTTGATTAGCGACCTTTTTAGTCGTCTTTCACCTCAGTGTAATTCTCTGTATAAAAATCTTCCAAAAATAAAACTGATGATTTAAATTCTATGAGGAGTCCCGCTTTTAACTGATAGAAATATGGAGAGGCTGAAATTTAAATTTCTCGAAATTTCATAAAATTAAGTAAGTGGTGGAAACGTAAAAAAAAATATTTTTAGCAAAATTTTCTAAAAACGTAATTCAGAAATAATTTAATTAATCTCTGAATAAGCCCTGAGAATTATTTGATTTTGCAAGAGTTTCCAAAACAAAGTGTTTTAACGTCAAAAAAGACGCTAACATTTCAATACTAATCTTTGACCCACCTCAATTTCGAACGTGCCTGAAAGGATTAAAAAATGTAATAAAATGATAAGAATTCTTTAATCTTTCCTCTTAATAATAAATTTTGACGATAAAACTTCGTTTTTATCAAGTTTCGGCCTTTTTTCATCATCGTATGCTCCTTTTTAGAGATATTTTGGAGGTACACTTTACTGTGAAGCAATCCTGAGGATTCATTATTGGTGATCACACTGTTAATAGCATAAGATATGCAGATGAGACATGGAAAAGAAAATACAGGAACCCCCACAGAAATTAGTAAAGGAAAGCGAGAATGAAGAACTATACATTAACTGTAAGAAGACAAAGTGTATGTTTGTCAACAAAAGAAACACGCCAATTACAAATTGGAGATATGAAAATCCAGCAAATATAAAAATTTTAATCTCGAAGAAATATTTTTAAAGCGGAAGGAAAATTCAACACCAAAATCATTGTGGTATTTATTTTCGACTAGCAGCATGACCCGGCGTTGCCCGTGCTTGATTCAAAAATCGTACAACTCATACAGCAATCGCTATCACTTGATTTAAAATATTTTTGCCCTTCCTTGCATTTAAAGGAGTGTCCTTTGCTGTCCTGATGTTGCTACATGCCTTATTTTTTGCCTATCTCACACTACGAATTTTTTCTAAGCTCTATACTAAACATTAAATCTCTTACGAAAAAAGAACTAAACAAAATGAACACAAAACGATCAGCTTTAAAAAAGGACTCGTAACTGGAAAAACCGAATGAAAAAAGAATGTTAACAACAAATACTTTTTCACACCCAACCCAGTTCTGCGGAATCAGAATCAACGTTGAGTTTAAGCAAGCGAATGAGCCAATTGGAGTAAAGTGTCATGCAGATTTAAATTTTTCCCACTTGTGACAAATGTAGGTATCGATTTTTTTTTGCATGCTAGCATGCTAGTTAACATTCGTGTCAGTCAGCTATTGGCTCTCACACTGGCCAATAGAATCTTCCTGCCTATTCGTGGCAGCCAGCTATAGGCTCTCACTCTGTCCAGTAGAAAATGCCCGCAAACTACATGAAAACTGCTTTAGAAGCATGAAAAAATCGATTATTTCCACTATCGATGGGAGTTGGGAAATGCAAAGTCGGCCTTCGCCTTCTCGCTAACTTGGAGCATGTGCATGTAAATTTTGGTGCAAATCCGTCGAAAATTGCGGCCGTGCATTCGTTACACACACACACACACACACACACACACACACACACACACACACACACACACACACACACATCCTGCCTTTTATAGATAGAGATTAATAAATGTTTTCATGGTAATTGTTCAGATGAGCTCGTTGCTATGGTGCCTAGACTTTTAACATTTAAGCGCCGTACTAGACAGGTGACGAAGTCTCATTAATTTACATTTGAGTTGGCTAGATTTAGCCATAAATTCTATGCTGTTTCTTTTCTCGCACTTCTCGCTTGTGGAACACCCTTCCGGTGCCATGCTTTCCAGTCGACGTTAATTAATGCAAAAATTGAAATGTAATGTCAATCGCAATCTGCTGTCCTCCTGATTGTTCTTTTTTTTGATTTTGCTGTTTCTGTTTCTAACCTTACCACACTCAGTGCCGCCTTTTGCCTCATTGGCTTTACTTCGTTGCTTGGAGTGAACTCAATAAATGTAACGAACCCACTTGAAATTGAACTCACACTCTTTGGGTTCTGTCACTGGATCTAACCAACGCCTCAAGGACACATGGCACAGTGGATAAAGGCGTTGGTTAGATCCAGTGACAGAACCCAAAGAGTGTGAGTTCAATACCCGCTTAAGGCAGTGAAGAACTTTCAGCGGGAAATTAACAGGAGATAACTGATAACTGACGTCCATTAAACATGGCAGGTGGAACTAGAACAGTCTACCCCAGTGAGCGAAATAAAGGGTTCAGTTTGACATTCCAACCACCTGAAGAAGGGCCGAAACGTTGTAATAAATATGGCGACAAAGATGAGGACAATAGTCCGAATAATGTAAATAATATAGATTATCTATTTTAGCGATCGGATGGCATTCGATCCCGGACGTTATGAAAATAAGTAACATTAAAATTAATAAAATTAAATATTAATAAAAAATCAATATATTTTTTAAATTCAGTAGCATTCTTAAGTGTACTTGTACCACTACTACTACTACTACTACTAGTAGTAGTAGTAGTAGTAGTCGTCCAAACCCGACACGCTCTAACAAACTGAGCTACAGAGAACAATCGGATTTACATTACTCGGACTGGTTTCCTCATCTTTATTCTTATATTCACGACGTTTCGGCCGTTGTACACTCCGACCTTCTTCGGGTGATATACGTTGGAATTTCGAACCGAACACTTTATATTACCTGAAGAAGGCTGGAGCATACAACGGCCGGAATGTTGTGAATATGACAATAAAGATGAGGACAACAGTCCGAATAATGTAAATAGTGTGAAAAGTTAGAATACATCATCTCAGAAATATAGACAGATGGAGAAAAATCGGTCAGGCAAGGCCAAATTTGTTATAGACCTCCGAATTTGTTATAGACCTCCGAATTTGTTATAGACCTCCGAATTTGTTATAGACCTCCGAAATTTTTTCATATCTGTTCAGTTTCGTATCCAAACGTAAACAAAGAGAATTTTAGAATGGCTTTTTTTAATAATTTTTATCACTTTAAACGTTATTTTTAGCGGATACTCGTATTTGAGTAGACGCTCCATTTATTTATGAAACAGTAGATTTATTTATTTTCGTCTGCCGGTCTGAATGTTCTAGAAATCTTAATAAAGTTCCATAGCAAATATGTTTTTATGGGAATGAGTTTCTATGCCCACATCCAACCAGTTTTAAATTCAGGGCTTCTTCTCTTAGAGTAGTTGCCAATCAAATGTAAAAGTCTAGTCTGTTATTAACAGAGAAAAGACTGGATCGATTGAAGTAGAGGAGATTGTTCAGCATTCACTGCCATATAAGAAAACATATTACGTAAAAGTTCAGTACACTTTTGTTTCTCACGAAATTTAACCGTTTCTTAATAATTTGTTTAGCTTTTGAAAGGTATCTTTCGCTATTCCAATACGCCTTCGGGTTTCAGTGTCGCATTTCCGCCCTCTATTAAAACACTTTTCAGATATTTAAATTGTTGTCAGTCGGTGATACACGCTTGGGCGATCATGTCTTTTTCGATTCATGACTGACGAGGCAGAAGATTTTCCCGTAGTTAGTGGTCGTTTCTTAATGTTGAGACTGGTTGTAAACCAAAGGCTATAGAACAAAATCTGTCCTACTATTCAACCCATAGCTGGGAGGAGAAGAGATGGATTCATACCTTTCCCAACGGTATATGCGTGTAAGTGAATATAAGGAAGCCGGCTGGAATTCGAAACCGGATCTCTGATTTCTAATTCCTGGTCGATAATCATTGCATCACAACGCACATGCGTGTTTGATTTTGGAATTACATCACGGTGTAACACCGGTTTCCGTACGATCAACAAAGTTAAGCAACATCGAGTCTGGTCAGTACGTAGATGGGTAGCCGTTTGGGAATACCAGGAGCTGTATAGTTATATTATGGAGAATGGCTCGGAATTGTTAATCGGAGAGCCGAGTTCCAAATCCGACCGAGTTCGTTATATTCGCTTATGCGAAAATGCCCTTGGGAAAGTTACAAATCCATCTCTTCTCCCCTAGATATGGGTTAATTAGTATCACTGAACCATTATTATCTTAAAAAAATAAATTAAATAAAATAAAAACTTTAAAAATATTTTCTGGATTTAAATAACCTGTAAGGTGTTGATAGGCCGTAAAAATTGATTTCCAATTCCCGTTGAGTTAGTCATATTTCCTCATGCGCAAATACCCTTGGGAAATGCATGAATCCACTTTTTCTTCCCCCAGATATGGATTAATTAGTAAGACTTTTATCACTAAACGGTTATTATCTAAAAAAAACAAAATTACAATCTAAATATATTTTCTGGCTTTAAATAACCTGTAAGGTGTTGATAAGCCGTAAAAAAAACGAATCAATCAATCAATTGCTTGAGTTTGGTATCTTCAATTTGTAATTTGCATGTTGGGCTGTTCCTTTTTCTAACAGCCATGCATTCTGTGTTCTTGCAACAATTAGAAGAAAAAAAAAAGAAGTCCGTTTTCTTTCAGAAGCCTCTAGCCGGATATAAGCACTGATGCAGAGAATGTTTACTTGAAGCCCAAATCTCGCTCACTGTTACAATTTGCACTCGGCAATCTAGCACCAAATGTCGGCAAATAAAAAGTCACGTAAAATAACTTCAGACATCCTAAAGACTTCATTCACTGTGAAACACACAATCCGAAATACTGGCGCCATTTCATAATTACACGAGCCAAGAAACGTTGTCAAAACATCCATGCGTCTAGGTACATACATGCGGGTGTATTTAATCCCGTCACATATAGGGTTATGTATACATAGGTACATCAGTAAGTTCATAGCCTAATGATGAAAAATGCATTCATTTTATACAACAAATATTTATTTTTAAAAACAACCTAATTCCCTGTAAATGCACTTGATTCATTGGTGAATATTAATTACCTAGGTCAAATATTACGCTGTGGAAAATTCAGGTAAATATCAACTAATATTTAACTGTCAGCTTACGGACGTTCTGATTGTCCCTCATACATAATTGCGTCAATAAATATGTAACCCAATGCTGACAAATCATTTATTTTTCGGTAAATAATTATTTTCAAACATAATCTCGTTCTCTGTCAATGAAATTATTTCAGTGGTGAATATTAATTGCATAGATCGAATGTTACCCAGTGGAAAAATTAAAATAAAATCCAGCTAATAACTATATGTCTAGTTACGGATCATGTGATTCACGCTCATGAATAATCAATAAAATAAGAAACCCAATATGAAAAAAGGTATTTATTGAATATGAATTTTTTTTAAATAATCACCTTCTCTGTTAATGTATTTAGCTCCTAAATCGAATAATATACATGAAAAATTTAGTTAAAATTTCAGATAAAAGTTCGTATAATAACCATGTATTAGTCGATGAACTTACTGATGCATTGTCGTGTACAAAATCTATCCTCTATCTATCTATCTATCTATCTATCTATCTATCTATCTATCTATCTATCTATCTCTCACAGTCTGTTCATTATCTATCTATCTATCTATCTATCTATCTCACAGTCTGTTCATTATCTATCTATCTATCTATCTATCTATCTATCTCTCACAGTCTGTTCATTATCTATCTATCTATCTATCTATCTCTCACAGTCTGTTCATTATCTATCTATCTATCTATCTCTCACAGTCTGTTCATTATCTATCTATCTATCTACTTTGAAATAAACAAACACTGTAATATTTGTTAAAATCGTACACGTTAAAAAGTACGCAATTTTAAGTAGGAAAACCAAACTTGCAGAGCGATTTAATATCTTAAAAAGATAAGAACGCTGACCGGAATATTACCGTGGTTTCGACTGCCATGGTTCATTCAGCGAATGAATCAGAGGCAAAGCAAGAACTTAAATGCCTTCATTCGACACCGGAAGTAATGGGCTAAATTGTAATGGGGGAAAAATTAAAGTGAAAGGAATGTAGAAAAAAATGTTTTTTCCAACTTTATCCAGGTTCGTATAGCCCCAAAATTAACTTCCTGATGTGTCTACATTGGGCCATTATCTCAGACCTTCCATTCAACAATATATATATATATATATATATGACAAAATATAGCTTTAAGGTATGTTATATCTGTGGGTAAAAGTGGTCAAATCAGAGATAAATCGTATGTAAGTATAAAAGTAGACATTGAAGTCAACACCAAGATATATAAGTAGTCTCTAAAAACACAACACACATGGCTTGAGGATTGGGTTTAGCATGAAACAGATTGTCGTCTCGGTGCTGGCGTTAAATGTTTACATTTGTTCTACTGTTG